GCAAATATTAATTTTATTTTTCCCTTTTATTTTTGGCTTTATAAATGTCTGGCTTTTGGGGGATTTCTGTGAACAAGCAGTTATACAGGATTTGGGGATAACCCAACTCACTTAAGCACTGCAAGACGAGGGTGAATAGGCTTGAGGCTTGCATAGGACTTACAATTAAATGCCTTACAGTTTGGTAATATGAGCACTATATATGATTTAAGTTAATAGGTATGTTTCTATGTCTTTTAGGTACATATTATCCTCCAAAATTTCTGCTTACAGTGGGTTATAAATAAGTAGATACTCATTATATTAGCCTAAGCACTTTTTGGTTCACATAACTTAACAATAGACTAATCTAAATCAGTTGGTGAGAGTAAAAGTTGGTAACATGTTTCCATCCAGATTGTTAGCCAATCAGGATAATATCAAAATTGTTTTTATACATGCAATGTCTATTGTTGTCTGTGTATAACAAGAACTTTTCCTGGGTCAGAGATAATAGATATTTAACACAGAGGAACAGCTGTCAGAAGAGTGACTTGTGTTAACTGTTATGATTTGTTAACTGTCATGACTTGTGTTAACTGTTATTATATGCTGCTTATGAGTCATCTAAAGTAATTATTAAGATAAATAAGTTGGGACACCTTGTGCTTAGAAAATGGCTGGACAAAACCCCCTTCTGTGGCTAAAAACAGCAGCTGCCTGAAATAATTTGTTGTTTGCTCTTACTGATAGTGATATAGGAATGATACAGACCTCCAACTGATAAAGGGGAAATATTCTAACTCCCCACCTGCTAGATGTACAATAGGCTGAGTTTGTGTTTCCCAAAATCAAAGAATGAATTGCAAGGAACAAGAGGTTAAGAGTAGGAAATATTTATTGAAAGGGAGAGATACAGCTCCTGAGAGAAGAGAGGTCCTAAGTAAGGTGCTGAGGACCCCACTTTTTTAGGGGAAGTTTAATAGAGCACAACCACCTGAGTACAGTGTGGGTTAAGGCTACTGTCAACAAATAAGATTATAAGTATAGCCTCTTAGGTAATATTGATCCAGTAGGGGAGCAGGTCATATAACAAGTGTTCATGGAAAGAGCGAAGAACTTTTGAAGAAGGGATGAGTCTGAGGGTCCTGGTCATCCACTGAGGTTTCTGATGTCCATCTAGACTTTATTAGGCCAGATGCTACCACTGATCCCTTGGGGAAGCATGTAGGTCTGGTCATTCCTTCTCTATCTCAAGGGCTGGCCTCCAACAGATGTGCCTCCACCCACAGTTGCAATTTGTCATCTTTGGACTGAATCTCTCAAGGGCCCAGCCCTATCTGACTGCCTATAATATTTCTACCTAACTCAGCTGTCTGTAATAATTGGAGACTTTCCAGTCTTTTCACAGAGGCTTATGGTGGTACATCCCAACAAATGCGATTAAATATGTTATTATAACATATTTAAAGTAGTTATAATTAAAAGGTTAAGCTTTCCGTGTCCAAAACAATAATGTTTTCTTAAGATATTAAGATGCCCTTGATTAAAATGATAGAACTAAGGGGAAGAAAGCTTCCATACTGTACTAGGATAGTTTCTTGTGTTTTCCACAGTTAGACTCAATCTCTTGATCAAACTTATTTCTTACGATAGCTCTACAGCTACTGATGATGGCACAACTGCATACCTTCATTTTGCACACCCATCAACTTTGAAAATGGTACCAGACAACACGTGCCAATGACAGACTACCCCTTTGGCAGGCCAATAACTGTGTATAAACCCCTAGATCTAGGCGCTTCCTCATGTCCACCACTGGAGCCCCCTTCTCCTAGCATGGGTTTTCTTTGTTCTTTCTAATAAACCATACCCAGTTTGCTCCCCACTGTGGTCCTGTCAGCTCCATTCATCCTTATCTTTAGGACAAGAGCCCATAGGGGGAGAATTATTCACAAAATTTTCAAAGATTCTTAGATATTCAGCCAAGTGGGGAAGGGCTGCTTCAATTATTGGCTATGTATTTAAAGAGTAAATTCTAGAGAAATCAGTAAAAAACATGTGTCTTCCCTCTTCAAAATCTTCATTATGTTTTTTGTATGTGTGTACCACAAGAGTTTTCTCCAATGCGAAGCTCTTCAAAGCTGGTAAGTGTTACACAAACTGGTACCCCAGAGTGCAGTCTTTTTAGAGCTGAGTCATGTGCAATGATGAATTATCCCATAAGTTCCCATCTTGCTTCTGGCATGCATATTAAAAATTTAGATGTGAGGCGTCCTAACTCCTACGGGCAAGAATTTAGGAATAGCAAAATTTCCACATATTGGCATAAAAATGGGAAGGGCCCATGAACAAAAAAGACTACATATGTGGGGGTGACTTGTCTCCAAGTTGGAGAGAAGAAAATGTGGAGATTTAAATACCAGTAGTTGGATTTAAAGCCAAGGAATAAAGGAGAAATTAACACACATATAGCGGAAGTATTCTTAATTTTTTGGTTATTTATTTATTTTTCATGGTGCTGAGGATTGAACCAAGGGCCCTTTGCATCCTAAGCACACGCTCTACCACTGAGCTACACCCTCAGGCAGAGCAGAGGTATTCAACAGCCAGATGATGTGTGACTGTCCTTTAACAGAGATTCCTGCTTATTTTTGACCCTCAGGCCTACAGAACAAATCTACAGTTTCTGCGCTGAGTCTATTCAGTGCTGGAGTTTTCTTTGAGATAAAGCCTTGCCTCCCAGTTGTACTCGGGCTACAAAAGACCACTTTTGTTGAACTCTTGAGTTTAGTGTAACTGGAGCTGTTTGCTGCACCTGATATTTACAGGCACATGATTTACCATTTATGGTAAAGGCCCAGTTGTACAGATGCATGGTGGCAGTTACTCCAGAGAACAACCTTGATGGAACTAGGCCTGGCCCTTACACACTTCAATTTTACCAGCCACAGATATAAGAAGTTGCTCTAGTTTATAAAATGCTTTTTTTCTTTTAAACTATTGGGGCATTATTCAGTGCTTTCAGATAAAGACATCTTGACAATTTTCTTTTAGAATCAGGCTGGGCAAAAGTTTGACCCTCTTGAAGAAAGGTTCCTTAAAATTGTATTTAAAAAAAGAACTTTGCGTCCAGTTGTTTATTTTCTAGGTTAGTGGGTAAGCAGGAAGTCAGTTCAAGTATTCTCATTCTTCTCAATCAGCATTTATTTGCTATAGTTTCTTTTACCACCTGCACTTTCTACTTTTTTTTAATTCCTAAAATCATTTGCACGATCTCATTTTTTTTCCCTAAGTGGGTGGCATATTAAAAAGGTGTAATTAATTCAGGGATTAAAAATATGCCTCTTGAGACGTGTGTTTCCAAAAGGCACTGCTTTCTCCTGGCAGAATGTTTGTTTCCTCCTTCTCCATTGTTTATTTGAAATGAGCAAGGACAAAAAAGCAAAAGACACCAAATTGAGGGTGGCGGGTTTGTCTGGAAAATTCCCAGAAACTGACAAAATAACACCCCCTTAAGACAGGCCCGACCGTGAATTGTGATTTCTGTGTTTACAGACTTTCTGTGTGTGTAGTGGGGAGCTAGTTTTAGCCAGCGCCTTCCTCAGTGCTCCAGCAAAACTGAAATTACAAATGTGCCTCCAGGTGCTGTCTTCCCGGCTGATGCGTGGAGATGTAGATGTGTTTGCAAGATATAAGGGAAGTGCAGCTTGCAAAGGGAGTGAAATTAACATGCAGGAGGGGACCTGGAGGAGTTCCCCATCCTGGTTGGGTGCTAACTACATTCCCAGACTTCTAGGGACATCTATTAGGATTGTTGCATTTGTTTGAAATCGTCCATAGTTACTAACAAGGTCTTAGAAATTAGTTCAGTAGTTGAAAGATCACCCTTTAGGTAGAAATACAAGGGTCTTGGGGCTGTTCTCTTCAAAGGAGTTTTTTTTTTTTTTCACATTGTGTCTTGTTTTCTGGAGGGAAGCTCTGCAGTCTCTTACTGTGTGCATGTTTAAAGGGTTAAAGACAAATATTGGCCTCTGTAGGTGCCAATAAATCCATTAAATGAGTTTTTAGCAACAGAGACCTAGTCCAAGCATGGTGGTGACACCAGTAATCCCAGCATTCGGGAAGCTGAGGCAGGAAGACTGCTGTGAGTTCAAGGCCAGCCTGGGATACATAGTGAGTTTAAGGTCAACCTGGACTGCATAGTGAGACCCTGTCTCAAGAAAAAGCTAAAAACAAAAACAAAGAAAAAGAAAAGAAATGGAGACCTAAAGGAGTTTAGAAAGCAGAGAAAGTACTAGTCTGGGAGCTGGTGCATTTGTGTTTCATTCTTGCCCTAGCATTACCTGGCAGAGCAGGAAAGGTAGTCTGGTTGCTGGTATCTCATTCATTCTCCAGCTTCCCCTGCCTGGGAGGCTGAATCTGCCTTCTCCCAGGTCCCTTGCTGTGTGGTGTCCACTGGTCCCAGTGTGGGTACAGATAACCCCCTATTTTCCATCTGTGGGTGCACAGGCCTCCACTCAAGCAGCTACTATAGGTGGCCTCTGTCTGTACTTCTGGCCTTTGGTTGTTTTTTGCCTCATTTGTTTATCCTCTTAATCCTGCCCATACTTTTCTAAATGGTCTCCTGCTAAGGGCTTCTCATTTTCACTGTCTCGGGTGGATTGTGTTTCTGTCCACAGCTCTGAATAATACTAAAAGTGACTGGCTTTAGCAAATCGGAAATAGGTTTGGAGAAGTGGGGTTGAATTCCAAACCACTGGGATCATACCACCTGTGACTGGATTCTTTCTAGGAGGCTGCTGGGTGGGAAAAGAAGGGAGAAAGATGAATTAGTACCAACATGTTCGGGCCTCAGTCTGTGGACCACTGCTCTGCCTCATGAGAAGTGTAAACCCAAGAGCCTTCCAGTGGGTCTGGCTCCTGCTACAGAGATTTAGGTTCCTTTGATCCACTATGAGCACACCCAGTCTACCAGGGATTAAAAAGAAATCTTTGCTTGTGACTCAACCAAAAAAAAATTTTTTAACTGATAGTTTTTTTTTTATTGTTGTTTTTTAAATAACAATTTGGCAAGAGGGCAAATAGATTCCACAGCGGGGTGCTGAGGCTGGATGCCAGGCTCCATTCTGTTGGCAGAACAGTACTTAAGAGCTTGCACAGAGCTAGAAATGTACATAATTACAAGAGAAAACTGTGGGGAGAGGAGCTGGTGAGGAGAGGTGACCAGAGCAGGCAATGACATCCTCAGCCTTTCATATTTATATATTATATATATTTTATATATATTACATCCAAGAGTGACAGTCATTTGTACCATTTCCCTAGCAAGGCAAAGGCCTGGGCTGGGTGCAAGCGGGCAGCACAGTGCAGGGAAGGGCTTTGCTCACAGAAGCTGCAGGAGCTTCAGTGACTGCAAGAGGGCTGCGGGTTCTGCAGCTGCCAAGTACTGGCAGCAAAGCCAGTCCTCCAACTCCACACCCCGCCTGCGGTCCACCGCCTTCTCTGCAAACTTCATCATCATCAGGGCCCGCTTCATGTCAATCCAGTTGTGTAGCGTGCTGCACAGCACCTCCTCCGAGGAGCCTGGCTGCTCCACCAGCTCGCGCCGGGGGCCCCACAGCAAGCACTGCAGCACATGCTTGGCCTCCCCTATGCGGATGCGCTTGATGGGGTCAGCCTCTAGCAGCAGGTGAGCGAGCTGCTGCAGGCCGGGCGAGTAGAGGGACAGGGCGGGCAGTGGGGGCAGGTCTTCCCGCCGGTAGTCCTGCTCCCGCAGCTGGGCCCGCACCTCAAATGGGTTGGGCTGGTGGAGCAGCTCGTAAATGAGGATGCCGGTCTGGAACTCATCAAATTTGCGGTACTGCGAGGCAGACACAATCTCAGGGGCCAGCCGGGCCTGGCTCTTCTTCTTTTGCAGGTTGGCGGTGCCTCCTGGCTTCTGCTTGGCCTTCAGGAAATTGCTGATGATGAGCCGGGGCAGGTGCTTCTCACTGGGCACTACCTGACAAGTGGAGGCAGCAAGGGGGTTGGGAGCAACGGTGGAAGGGGGGACAGCAGGGGAGCAAGCAGAGGTGGCAGTGGACAGCGTGGAGGCGGCAGAGGAGGGCCCTGGGCAGGCCTGGGGGCTACAGTGCACCAGCAGCAGGTTCTCCAGGCACAGGTCCCTGTGGATGATACCGTGCTCTTTCAGGTGCTCCAGCCCATTGCAGAGCTGCAGAAGGAGGAAGCACACACGCCGCTCGTACACCTCAGGCTCAGCCTGATGGCTGGTGGCTGAGTCTCGCACGAAGTCCGAGGCCGTCTGGTAGGGCACCTCTCGGGTGATGACCACCACGCAGTCCTGTTCCTGGGCAGGGGGCTGTGAGACTGCAGCAGGCAGATGGTCCTTGGTCGTGTCAGAGGAGGTAAGCATGCTGGAGGGCACAGAGGCAACAAAGTGGCCACAGTCCTGCTGGATGTTGAAGTGAACCGGCACAGAGGGGCTACTGTATGACGTTGTTTTGGGCTCAGGGGTTTTGCAGATCTGTGAGGAAAAACGGAAGTGAGGTCAGAATGGGATCCATGCTGTGTTCAATAGATGTTGGGACATTTGAGTATCCACATGCAAAAAGGTAAGCAAACCCTTACCTCACACCATATATAAAATACCTTAAAAGGGGGTTCCACAGACTTAAGTGTAAGTGACAAAACACAAATTTTAAAAGAAACATAAAAAAAAGCCTTTGAGACCCTAGGTAGGACTGTGATCTCTTAGGTACCACATCAAAAGCATGAAAAGAAAAACATTCATAAACTTGACCTCATAACTAAAAACTTTTGGGTATTAAAATGCACCTTTAAGAAATTGGAAACACAATTAGCAGACTGGAAAAAATATTTGCCAAACACATATCTCATTGAGGACTTGTATCTAGAATTTACAAAAAACTAAGTTTTTAATAGTCAACAAATAAAACTCAGTAAAACAGAGATGAAAAACCAGGTTAAAAAAAATAGGTAAAACAAGCCAGGTATGGTGGTACACACCAGTAATCCCAGTACCTGGGAGGAGGATCACTGCCAGTTTGAGGCCTGCCTAGGCTACCCAGTGAGGCCCACTGAACTACATAGCGAGACCCTGTCTCAAAAAGCAAAACAAAATAAAACAAAAAATATAATGGGCAAAAGATTCACATGTATAGGCAGTTCACCTAAGACATCTTCAATTGGCCATAAACAGATGCAAAGATGCTCAACATTGTTAAGGTTATGCATATACCTAATATTGTTCATTCATTAAGGAAATGGAAATTAATACTACAATGAGATAATAGTTCTAACCCATTTGAATGGCTATAGTAAAAGCAGGACAGCCACAGTTGTCTACTTGGATGTGGGGAAATGGGAACTCCCACACATTGCTGTTGGGAATGGAAAATGGAAAATAATTTGGCCATTTTTTAATAGTCACACATAACATGCCCACATGCAAGTGGGGCCCTGGCAGAGAAGTATCTTTGCTCCCAGTGTGAAGAGGACAAATTCTTACAAAATTCTCTGACAGAATTTGCACAAGAATCAGCCTCACACCTCAGTCCTCTCCACTGGAACTGTAGCTGCCTGACAGCAAATGCGTTTGGCTGCTGGGCTGCTCCTTCATGGGGAATTTCAGGGACAGAGGCAGGCCCTGACCCTTAGGACTTGGCCATGTTCTCTTAAGTTGCCCTGGTTTAAACCCAGGTGAATACAGAATGCCTAGTATCTGGTAAGACCTGCATGCAGGGCTCATTGTAGTGCGAGTGCTATGGGTTGGAACATATTTTCCTTCTAGGGTGAGTTACAGCAGCTAAAAGAACACAGCAAGCTCTCCAGGGAACAGGGAACCCACAGGATATAAAAGCAGCCTCTGAACTGCAAGTGGGACTAAACGAGATGAGTGATCTCAAGCTCCTCTGTGGGAAGGGACCCTGGGGAACCCACACGACTGTGCCTTGCTTGCCTCAATCTCTTCTGCTTGTGCCAAGGACAGCACCAGCTGCCTGGTCATCCTGCTGCCACTCAACTGGGGAGCCCTGAGCCAGTTGGCCCTGATGGCCCTCACTCAGGACCCAATTTTCCTCTAATTACACAGAGGGACTGAAGGTGGTCAATGATCTCTCCCTCAAAGCAGATTGTGTGATGTCTCCTATGCTTTCCAGAAACAAGAATCTGCATGTAATCTGGAAAAGAAAGGTGCCTCGCATCTACCTCGAAAGTACCAGCCAGCAAACAAACACCAGATAACCCTTGTTTTATAATCATTCCTGCACAGGAATGACTATAACGTTTATAAAGCACCACAATACTTGTGGCTGATGTTTTCAGAAGTTATATTGCAAGCACCTTTTCACAGAGTTATTTAAACGATAGCAATACAAGCCTTTCAGCATAAAAAAGCTGGCATCAAAGAGTTCAGCCTCTGAGGAAAGTATTTGAAAGCTAACTGGGGGAGGCAGCAGGTAACACCTGAATTTAGTAATCTATTATAGAAGCAAAGTACAAATAAATGGGAAGTATACTTACCCCAAACACTACTTCCTATTATGCTAATAAAACCAATTTTGAAATACAGGTCTAAAGGGTGTTGGTTGCTTCAGGCTCTTTTAAATTCCATCCTACTCAGCAGCATTTGGTTTTTAAATGGCACACTATTACATGAAAGCAAAACTGCGGGGAGGAGTCTTCCATAGAAATACTCAGTGACTGGCCAATCACTACCTGTGTGCCTCTGAGGACAGGTAGGAAGAGCACCACTGTTTCCTTCTCAGCCCAACTGGCACTCAGTGGACCCTGGCAGATGTGAGCAACTGTACCAGCTAGGCACTTCCACAGGTGTCTAATTTAGTCTCATTGACTCCAAAGCTGTAGATGCTATGGCAGAGGAGGAAACCGAGGCTTTAAGAGGTTAAGTTATTGCCCAAGATTAGGCAATGGGAAAGTATTCTAGAGGTCAAAAACAAGACTTTGGGATGAGAAAGGTCTGGTTTAAACACCCACTCAGTAACCTTTGTCAAGTTACAAGGGATTTTTGTTATTTGAGGTAATTATGCTCTATTAAGTAGCTGCTACTAAATTATAAGTAACACTAAATTAGCACATGCTGAACTATCGCTTTTACAGGAAATGCTGGATGAAGTTTCAGTGAAGCTTGGGTCACAATATTTTCATCAACTGATCACAACACAGCTTTGTTTTGAGACACCACATTTAGTACATATTCTAGACTTAACACTGAACTCATAACCAGCACATGATACCTCAGGCCTGAAGGAACCTACGTAGCCCACATAAGGCACATCATGGCTTTCTTGTGCATACAAACACTAACAGTACTTCAGCACTACACTTGGGACCATTTTAAACAGTGAACTCACAACAAAGGCACAAACATGAAAATACGAAGCACTGAGTATGCTGTGTAAAGGACCCTAGCTTCCAGTATAGGCACACAAAGCAGAGGGGCGGGAGTCTCCCTGTTTTGCTTCAGCTGGAGGTGTGCACATGGGACTCATATTTTTGCCTGTTCAGACCATGCCCACAGATGACTAGAAAGTGCTCTGAGTATTGATTTGTGGGTTATAAATAAATTTCAGTCAGTGGATGGTTTTGCAAATAAGGAATCCACAAATAATGAGGACTGGGGGTAAATCTTAAAGTCTATCTTCTCTTCAGTTTACCTGGGGTGGAGAAAGTTCCTTCCTGAGGGAGCCAAAGTGCCGTAATAAATGAAAGGATGCAGGTGTTCTCAGCACCAGACCCCAGACCCTGCCGGGGTGAACACTCGGCAAAAGGTTGCCATGGTGACCGCTCCTGCCATTTCAGCTGCAGTCATGGGGTGGAGCTGAGCCATCCACCAGGAGCTGGCCTGCAGGTATTGCACAACCTCAGGGCGCAGCTGTGAAGGCTTGGAGAAGGAGTTTCCAAGGCCCCCCTTCCTCAAGGGTATGAAAGGCCTAGGCCTGGCAAACACTGGGGCCCAGAGCTCCAGTAGAGCCTCTGACATTTTGCACAGAGATGTAAATGAAGGAGCAGGGTAAATGGCAACTGGGCTGGATGCATTTCAAAGCCAGGAACAGGGCTCCTGGCAAAGCCCACAGCTCCTCACTGGAGGAGGCTGCAGCACTGTGTGGGGCCGAGCACGGAGCGCCTGAGCTAGCCTGGGTGCACCCTCCTGCACCCCAGGTCATTCTAGTGTTGGACAGAGGGTGTGGACGGGGCATAAAGAGAGGAGACAGCTCCTTCTCCTCCACCCATTTCATTTGGGGGTCAGTTTTGGCTCAAGAACATCACACAGACCTTTCCCTCAGCTCAACTTTCAACTGTTGAGCCAAGTCTCATTTTAAATGCTGCAGCCAGAGTCTCATTCATGAGTAAAAATCTGGGCTAAGTCACATCTATTAAATCAAAATGGGCCCAGAGGCTTAACACAGTTCCTAACTGTGAAATGGAGTTTTAGACGGATAAGAAATGAAACAGTTTTGAGAATCACAAGCTAATGATTTCTGCCCCATGCCACATTTTCATGAAGTCAAGCTACAGGGGTTGGCTTTACTGCTTCATGGCTGCGGGTCACTGAGCCCATGACTAGAGGCTGCAGAGTCAGGGGTAAGCAGGTGCCAGTCTGCTACTGTTTCCTGGGACTCTGCAACCAAGGCTGTGTCTGACTTCAGCGCCGGCTCCCTACTTAACATGCACAGATGAAGGTGGCAGGCAGGGAAGGAGCTGCTTCCCCCTCTGCGGATCCCAGATGACTGTATTCTGTCTAGACTGCAGTGCTAATGAAGCGGAACAGCTGCATGTGCGAAATGATGCCTAAATCCCCACCCCACCTCCAATTACCAGGCCAGGTATATTTGTAAATTGATACTGTCATTGTTCCTGCAATCTTGTTGAAGTTTACTGTACTCTGAACGGTTGGTGCTATTCCCTAAACTTTCTGTTCACAGGGTACAGCGTTAGTCTTGGACCTTCCAAGTCCTCAGCAACGACAACTGGTAAAACCCTGAGATGGTCTTCTTTGGAGACCAGGGTTTCTCTTCGGGTTTCCTTATAATAAAACAAGAAGCAATGCTTGATTTCGACATCCTCTGGAAAGCTGAATTTCTTCACATTGTGGAGAGGAGAATATGCCTAATTCTACATTATAACGTGAGGCCCTAGAACCCAAGATGCACTGTACAATCACGTAAGGATACTTAGGAATATCCGAAATTCTTTGCCACAAGGCTTGGATTCAATGGCAGGACCAAGTATCTGGCACCAAGTGGCCCAATTCCTTAGTTCTTGCGAATAAAGTCCCACCACTTTCCACCCCAAGGGTAAGGTAATTCAATCTCTCCCATTAAACATCTACCTCCTCAAAATGGAGCGATCAGCTGTTCCTTGAGACTGAAGGAGTCTCCCAGGTTCAGTGCCAGGACACAGGAGAATGTGACTAATGATCGTGAGCTCAGGACAGTGAGTTCAAGGGGGACACAGAGGATGACTCACAGGTTGAGCTCTCTGATTCACCGAGACCAGTGAGAGGGAGGGCTATCCTAAGCGCATCACCATCATCCCTGCAATCGGAAAGCTCAAACAGCCCCAGGTTTGGGCCCATGTGATAACCCCTGGCTTTAATTTGCTGGATTCAGTGCACTGGAGATACCAGTCATGTTTTCCTCTACAGATGGTGCTTGACCTAAGCTGATTCAACTTACGGTTTTCCTGTGTTACAATGGTACAAAACCTATACATGCAATAGAAATTGTACTTCAAATTTTAAATACTGATATTTTCCTGGGCCGACAGTAAGGGGTGTGATCCTCTGCCTTAATTCTGGGAACTGGCAGTGAGCCTCCATGAGCCACAAATCACAGCGTTCACGGGCGGAAACCACAGATACTCTACGATGCACCACGTTGCTAAGCGAGGATGTTTGGGAGGTAGGTGTATTACACGCATTTCTGACGCACTATATTTTTGACTTATAATGGGTCCGTGGGACATACCCCCATCCTAACTCAGGGAGCATCTTACTGGACACAGCACCACCATCTTAATTGCATGGGAAGCTAGGATATTATTTTCTTTTAGCTTTTTTTAGAGGACTGATGGGTAGTATTGCTTCCTTGGAAGGTATCTGTGGGGTTGAGATAATAAAGCAATGAAATGCAAGACATGATAGCATAGTCTCAGGACATTTTTCCTGCTAGTGACTTCCTTCTAGGCTTTTTCCTTCTAGTGACTTTATTTCTGTACAAAAACTGAATCCTTCCGGTAGTCAGCTCTCTAGTGTTTCACAGGAGGGCAACTATAGACAGCTGGGTGAACATATCAATTAAGGCGTCCCCAGACTATGTTGTATGGTGGTGGCACAAATTTCTTAGAAGAAAAATCTCAAAGCACAATTTGCTTCAATTCCTCAGCTGACAATCATTTTGTTTTTAATAATTTTCCTGATAACAAGTATCGGACCAAGGCCTCATTGCATTTTTCTAACTGAAAAGAAAGAATGCCAGGGCTCTCCTCTTTATTTCCCACAAAAGTCTGTCTGCGTGTATAGAAGGGTCACAGATCTATGAGGTGTCCAAGGAAGACCAGAAAGAGATGGGAAGCTGGGTGTGCCAGTCACCTGCAATCCCAGCTACTTGGGAGGCTGAGGCAGGACGATCACAATTTTGAGGCCAGCCTGGGCAACTTACTGAGGGCTTGTCTCAAAAAATAAAAAAGGCTGGGGATGCAGTTCAGTGGTACAGAGCTTGCCTAGCATGTGAGAGGTCATGGGTTCAATCCCCAGTACACAGAGACACAGAAAGGAGAGAGAAAGAGAGAAGGAGGGAATGAGAATAGACTGCAATAATCCATGGTAGATCACACAGTGGCCTGAATGGGTACAGCTGGTTCTACCATCTCTTTCAGAACCACATGCTGAGACAGCAATGATATAGCATCAAAATTAAAGATCTGTGTTATCTTGGGTTACTGGAAGTCACCTGACTTCTCTCAACTTCACTTTCCTTAAGTGATACAATCATAACATCCTTTGAAACCAGAGGTCAAATGCATTATAGCCACCAGCTAGTTGTGGGCTGTGGGAACACAGGTAACAGTTAAGACACTCAGCAGGAGTCCAGTTCTACAGTAAACACTGAATCAACGTCATCACTTGTCCTGTTCAAGATGATACCTAGTTCTTATATCCATTCTGACTCTAACATTATCCACTTCTCTCACTGGATTATAACTCCAAGGAATCTTATCTTCATCTCTATATACTCAGATCTTTGCAAAACACCTAGCGTGGAATAGATATTCGGTAAAAATGTGCCAAATAAATGAATGAATTCTCCATTGCACTGAAAGTTAACTGTCTTGTTAACCCAAATAGGTCACATGGATTCATTCCTGCAAGCAGAGAATGCACAGTCACACTGTCAAGTCATATAATACAGACCTCCTGTCACCATGCCCTTGCTGAGGAAGAGAGAAAAATAGTCGAGCATTAAATGTTAAAAAGGAAGGTGGTAGTGACCCCACCTCCTAATGCCTAAGAAGGAGAGGTAACTCCCTCAGGTTGCAGCCCAGAGTGGAAGGAAGAAGTGGTACCTACTTTCACAGCATAGGTGCTGCCTGGGTCTTCGGAGCAGGTGGCACAGTAATAAATGGCATCTCCCGAGTCACAGCAGGGCTTGTTACAAGTCAGTTTGAAGAGCGACCAGTTATTCTCATTGAAGTGGAGCTCCTTCTTCTGGCCACCCATGAAGAGGTCCTCACACTTGGCCACAAGGCGGGCCAGGGACTGTGTGTAGAGCCCGCCTAGCTTGGCGTAGGTGCCTTCCTTGCTGCTGATGCTGCTCAGGAGGCTGTGCAGCTGCAGCTGAGTGCTACTGGAGGAGGCCTGGCTGGACACACTCAGCTGTGAGGATGAGGTGGAGGGAGCTGCTCTGCACTGCAGGCTGGGGCTCCCACAGCTGCTTTTGCTGCCCGCCAGCCCCGGAGCTGGGACCCAGGGACTGCTGCCTTTGAAAGCTTTCTCCAGAGGCTCAGAAGAGGAGAAGATAGGGTGGCGGCTCCCTGGGCTCAGGGAATAACCAAAGTGAGACTCATCCTGGGCAGATACGTTGGTTTCCGAGTGGCTTAGGTTCAGCTTTGGGCTTGCTGTTCGTGGCTTAGGGGAGCCTTGGGTCCAGAAGACACCATCGGGAGAGGAGGCCGCTCGGCTCACTATCTTCTTCTGGGGAAGGGGAGGGGGCTGCACAGAGCCACTGGGGGACACATTCTCAGTGGAGCCCAATGGGAACGGGACCGGAGCAAAGAGCTTCTTCCCGCTGATGGTGGGCGAGTGTGCTGGCTCAGAAGATGGCCCTGAAAAAGAGAAGCAGAAACTATCAGGCTGGAGGCCAATACTTCAGGCCCAGGTCTGGCCAGCTTTTTCTTTTATTCTGGTGAAGCAAATATATTTAATTTTGCTTCTCTTTTATTTCTGGAATAGACAATATATGCACAGCGGTCAAAACTCAAGTAGCAAAAGGTATACGCAGATAATTAAGTCTTCCTTTCACTCTATCCTTCACACTCAGTCCCTCTCGTCAGAGAACACCACTGCCAGCAATTTCTCATGCACGCTTCCGACCACACAAACAAGCGTGCAGCTCATACACGCACATGCCTGCACATACACATTTATGCGAAGGAAAGCAAATGTTACCCATTGTTTACTTTCGCGGCTTGGAGAGATTTCATACACATATGCAGATCTATCTAATTCTTTAAAACAGCTGTATTACAATATATCGTCATACACAAGTATTATAATTTAACTAGTCCCCTGTTGATGGACACTTACATTGTTTCTAACATTTTGCAAATAGTGTTGAAGAGGCAGTAACAGACTTGAGCATATGTGATTTGACCAAATTGTCTAAAAAAGATTTATAGAAGGTATAACTTACCAAAAGTAAAATCCCACTTTGAAGCACGCCAAATATCTTGCTGGTTTAGGAGGCAGGGCAGGACTTCAGACATTTTAGAAGGCAAGGGCACACGATTTTATAAATGAGGAAATAGATCTAAGGGAAAGCGAGCCTTTCTAAGGCCTCAGGGTTCCCAAAGAGGGATGCATGGATACTAAATATGACTAGGTGAAGGTCCAGTCAAAGCCATAAGTCTCTGCAAAGCACGGGGACATTGAGACAGCCTGTCCAGGCACACACAGGTGGGGAGACAGAGGGTTGGTTTATACCAGGTGAAGGCTGGGCGATATTTGTCTTAGTATATGATACGGAGCTTTCACAATGAAACAGCCATTTATAGTGAATAAATATACACATGTGTATGAAATCTGGAAAATCAAAGAAAATAGGACAAATGGAAATAAATCCCATTTACTTCACTCGAAGAGCAGATTTCAAGATATGTCCATGATTTTTAATAACCGCTTTCAGGGGAACGAAAGAAAAGGCTATAGTGGTATGTTGTGAAGTGTACCCTACTATCCTGAAGGCTAAAATGTCAAAAGAAATATGAGTCTTAGATTCAAAGAAAAGGCTAATGCTGATGTGTACCTCTCACTGGGTCTATCACACTATGCCACCTGAAAGCAGGGCACCTGCCTCTCTGCATCTCTTAGCAGTGAGACTAGTACTTGAAAAATACGACAAACGCATTAGTCCATGGCAAGGCATAAAAAGCCCCCAAAGGAAGCCTCTGGCTTTTGCAGGGCTGCTTCTAAATAGTTAGTAACCCCTGTGCCCTCACTGAGCCCGGCCCACTGTGTCTTTCTGTTTACCTCGGATTTGAGGGCGGACAGGGGAAGGCACACTTACTAGGCTGTTTCCTCATTTAGAAAAGGACTGGATTGCATCACTGGGAAGGCCCCTTCCAGCACTAATAGTCTATAATTTCAGCACTCTCCCTTTTCAACCTCTCAGAACATGCATTTTGTCTGAAAGCCGCTCCTGAAATAAAATACCTCAAGGCAGACAGTCAGCTTGCATCAATGGTCTCTCGCTTTGTCTCCAGTTCTCACAGCTTGCCTTGCCTCTGGTAAATTTACTAATCCGAAAGGATAGCGGGAATCTTTTAAAGGAATAATCAGCATCATCTCTTGTTCACTAGGTCACCAAAGAGAATCAAGTTGTTCTGGTGCACACCTTGCATATGCCTGTGCTCAGCAGCTGAGAGAAGGGGCTGTCTCCTTTATCCTACGCTGTATTGCCTTGTTTTCTGTGGGCACTGTGTCAATGAGTGCTCCAGATCAGATTTAAACCCCATTTGAGTGAATCTGACAAAGGGTTCTAGGTATTAGGAGCAAGGGAAGGCTCGAGGGACTAGCATGTAGTGTATTTCATTTTCCTGTATTTCCTCCATGTCATGAGTTTGTCACCCAACAATCATTCCCTGGCGTATGCACATAATCAGAGGATGGCACTGTATAAAAAATGCTTCCCTCTCATCGTAAGAAGCCTGAAGCTGCACCGTTATCAGTGACATGAGGCTGTCTTGGATTGTGGTCTTTACATGTCTAAGAGCATTACAAACACACATCATGATCTTTGGTTTTTTTTTTTTTAAAGCCCAGCTCTGTGGCAGAAACACTACCTTCCAACTTGTGTACCCTCCTGAACTTCCAGGGGACTGAAGGGAAGATATGCTAGTTTGATGTCCTTATATGTAGAAAGCAAAGTAAGGAAATCTTGATTACAGTGGTTGAGAAAAGTGGTTAACCCCTATGTAGACATGCAGGGTAAATGCAGAACCCTGTGAGGTTTCTCCTGCTTCAGGGCATAGGACCTTAGAGCTTCTTGGGCATTAATATTCTTAGGGTTGCTGTGAAATACATGCTGATATGTGGTCCTGCAAGATGAAGCGATTCTGTAACACATGAGGGGCAGCAGCTATCTTCTCTGGGACCAACTGGCACCGACTGGGATTTCCTTGACTCTGGGAACTAGCTCCTTTTAAATACAGCCTGAGGCAACACAGGATCTAGATCTTCACAATTTGCAGCATGGGCCACACTATGGATTCAGAAGAGTTCACTGTTCATAACCAAATTACTGGTTCGGGAAAATTTGCCCAAAAAAAATCTTCAACAATTTTGGCCAGCAGCTGAAATGACTCAGATCTAATGGGATATGAAACAAATGCAACTATATCCCAGTTTATTGGGTGTGTTAATCACAGTATTCAAATTCTGGCTTACAACTGAGTACAAAGCAGTGAGAAACTTTTCTAGTAACTATGTCTGCATCACAGCTATATCACTGGTGGGTTTGAAGTAATTTGGAATGCTGATGGGGCCAGAGAATTCCAAACACCAGTTCTTCTTAAATTTTCCTTCCAGTTTCCAATTCTGTATATAATGCAACTAGAGAGAAGAACGCCCAACAACTCTTCAGTGCACTGCTTCAGAGGAGAGACAGCATTTCTAGTGGGAAACCACCATCATGTGGGGAGCACTGGGGGAATCTTAAAAGGGTATGGGAAAGGTACTGTAGTTTGGTATATTTAGAATGCAAAGCAAAAAACTTAGGATTTCAGTGGCTGGGAAAAACAAGCTAACCCCTGTGCAGAAATGCAGGGCAAAAGTTCACAGGTGGTGCAGTGAAGTTCACCTCATGATAGAGTCCTCTCTGCTTGCTGGGTGTGAATAGGTACTGCTATTGTTTCCACAGTCAAAGGAGAGCTGGGCTGACAGAGGAAGTGGTCAGTCCTGTTTTGAGCCCCCAGAGGGGGAGGAGCCCGCTTCAGCTCCCCTGTGCAAGGCTTTGCTGGCTGACATCATCTGGGCCAGCACAAGCACAGAGGCAAGAAGCAGAATCCCTACTACATCCCCGAGCTCTTTGCTATTTGGCTGTTCTCAAACTTCAGTAAAAGTGAAATTAATTTTTTTTTGTGTGTGAAAAAATTGGAGTATTCTACAGATGGATTTTTAAGGAGGATAACAGACTATGCAGGAGGAAGTGCCATTTACATTTGTCTACTCATCGGTCAGTATTTACCCACTGAGCACAAGGCATTGGGAGCAAAGCAGATGGAAAAAACTTTGCCCAGGTCTTATGGTTTAATTCAGTCCCCTGTCAGAGGTAAGAAAACCGCAGCCATCTATGCAAGCACCTTGTGACCGTCACACAGGAAGTAGTACCGAAGCAGGGGTCCGTCAACTTTGCCCCTCACATCCACACCTGGGGATGTGCAGGGTGGGGGCCAAGCAGGGCTCTAGCTTCACATGTAACTTTTTCCTCCAAAGGAAAATTGTGCAACCTCTTGTTTGGTTCCACAATCATAACAGGCTCAACATTACGTGGGGGAAAAAAAAGCAAAAAAACATTCCTTTAAAAGGAAACCTTTGCTTTTTCAAGAAGATAAATGTGGTCTGAAACTGGAAGCATGTTATTAGCATTTTAAAATGGGATGGAAAATGTGGCATTTGTGAGGAATCTCTCCAGACCAGGAAACAATAATCAAGAGAAGAATGTGATTTACAGGCAAAAGCAGAAAAGCCTGTCTCAGTTTAGAAAACAGGCTCTAGATGCTTGGTCTGCTGTGCCTGCAGCCCAACCATGGATCTAGACTGGTGACCTTTCCTTCACAGCACTCTTCACGTGCTAAACTGAAAACTAAACTGACCTTTTTTAGATGACAACTTGAAATTTATACAAATTTTTGATGCATCGCTTCTATTTCTTCTAAGAATTTATCTTCCAGATCTGCTCACCAAACCCCTGTCGATGTACATAACACAGGATCCTACTGTACCCGTGTAATGAAAACAGTGTAAACATCCATTGGAAAGAAAAGGGTTTAACTAATTTGTACAGTGAAAGAATGCAGCAATTTTTAAAGGATGAGGTAGACCTAAAGGTTCTGACTGAAAATACTTCGAGATATATTAAGTACAAAAGAGTGTAGGATTAAATTTTATGACTTTGAAATATGGCTAAAAACTTCTGGGATGATACAGAAAAAAATATTCCAAGTGGTGGTGGGAGCTGGTGTGAGTATCACAAGACTGACTTCATTTCATAACTTTCTGTATTATCCAAATTTTTATCATACACATGCATTAACTTGACTGAAGTAATAATATATAGTTTATGACACACTTTGAATAGAACAATGTTAAGGCAAAGCTTCACTTTGCTCGTATTACAGCCCAGGACACTTAATATCTTAACAATGAATCTGTTTTTCTTTTTCATACTTCAGTGTAGATTTTACAGAAAATTACCCATGAGTCTATCTGTCTCCTTGAAGGATTGAGGGTGCAGTGCTGTGTTAGGGAAAAAGCCCCATGTAATGCATTAGATGGAACCTGTGCATTTGGAGTCAGGTGCTTAACAAGTCTGATTCAGGGTCATAAAATACTCTAGGGTGCAAATTTTGTTTTAAATTCCCTTTCCAAAGCCTCCTCTTTAAAAATATAATTTTTTCTCACAGAGTTGGAGGTGACAATAGCCAGAGGTGGTGGTGAGGCAATGGTTGGTGAAGGTCATGACACTGCTCTGAACCCTCCCGCTGCTTCCTGGCCTCCTCTTTTTCCCCAGCACTTACAGCCGATGGAGTCCCTGGTTACTTCTTAGGAAGAAAGACTTGACTGTTCTTTCCACTGCTGAGTCTTTAGCATGTGTAGAACTGTACCTAGCACACAGTTTGCCTCCAACAAGAATCTATCAAAGGCAGGACTGAAATGATGTACAAATTGTAAAAACTCTTTGGCACTGAGATTGATAAAAAAAAAGTAACTACTGCCACCATATTTGATTACCTTTCTCTAGTTCCTTTTTTTGTTTGTCTTTTTCTAGTACCAGGAATCGAACTCATGACGTTGCGCTTGCCAAGCAGGCGTCGTGCCACTGAGCTAAATCCCCAGCCCCTATCTTTCTCTAGTTCTGATTTGCTAGCAATGAAAATAAGGACAACTGCATGCCCCAGCACTTGTATTCACACTCACTGCACAGGTTAGACCTCTTTCTTCTTTGTTGAAGTACCAGTGTTTCAGTTAAACAGAAACTCTAATCTCCTCTCAGCTCCTGGCATCCATAGATGTTTGAACTGTTGAACTAAAGTTCCACATCATCCTAAATCAAAGAGGGAAATGATCTTAATGTAACATTAGGTTTGTGTAATTAAAAGTTACTACTTAAAGTACAAGAGTCTTCTCCTGGGCATTTTTCATGACCAGTTAGCTGATCACTTCCCTCTCCCACCCATCCATCCCCTACTGACGGCCCTCTCTCTGGCCGCTTTCACAGACCTGTTCTGACACACGCAGTATGCTCCTACTAAGCAGAAAACTGCCCAGACAGAATTTTCCTTCCACTAAATTGACTCACCATGCAATCAAACTGTTCCCATGGACAAATGGGGTAACAGATGTCCTGGGAGGGACATGAAATCCCATACAAATATAAGAGATGAAATGAACATTGATACAAAAAATGACATTTTCTTACCACAAAATGGCTTTTTAGAAGAGCAAAATAAGATAGATAATAGGTAGTAGGAGCTGAGTGTGGTGGCACATACCCGTAATCTCAGCCCTCGGGAGACTGAAGCAAGAGGTTCGCTGAGAGTTTGTTTGAGGCCAGGCTGGACTACACAGTGAGTTCAAGGCCAGCCAATACATAGTGAAACCCTGTCTCAGACAAAATAAAACAAGACAAAACAAAAACAAAAACAAAAGACAGGGAGAAAGATCTTTCTCAAATGGGAAGAAGATCAGGAGATGGAGGAGGGGGCAGGGAGGAGGGGGAAAGGGGATGAAACAGGAAGTAGTATGCACATGCACCAACTCCACACAAGGAATGGAAACATTATGTACTGCCAACATGTACTAATAAAAATAAAATTTAAAAAAAACAAAGCTATAGATTTCAATTTTGTTTTTCTTATAACATTTAAGACTTACTTTTTGCCACAAAACCCGACTGACAAATGGCTAACTTTAACCACTAACCCTGATACATTTCTAATAAGCTTGTGCAAACTGCTGTGATGACACACCCGGGGGTGACTTTTTCCCCCACTCACTCAGGGCAGCCCACACTGTGGACACAAAAGGCCAACAAAACACAGAGTTTTTATTAGTGAGCTCTTACTGACAAACACATGCATAGTCTAATGCATCCTCTCACTTTCCACGTAGCATCAGAGAGGTAGACATTACATATTGGTTTTTTGCACGGTTTTTGGTACTGGGGATCAAACTCACAACCTTGTGCTTGTCAGGCAGGCTCTGTGCCACTAAGCTAAATCCCCGGCTAGTTTTACAGATCTTCAGCTTTTACTTCTACTCTGATCCACAGTCTCTACACCAGATGTTCAGTTGGAGTAGCAGTCAAGTTGGGTAGTCACTGTGGAGAGGCAGATGTGTGGAAGGAGGGAAGGGGTGGGCAGGGGTGGTGAAGGAGAAACAAAAATAATCAAGCTTTGATACGTGTCTGTGCCCATTCCCCAAGACAACTGTAATTGTTGTGCATCTCAAACGCATGTGAACTTTTTTTTTTAAAAGGTGGGTTCCTATTTTAGCTACAAGATAAAAGGAAGTTAAGGCTTCAGGGGAGGGGAAGATGACTGTTCGGTAACACACAACACTCTGCCCTGGTTGGTGTTGTAAAACTGAAGGACCCATGTCTCACATTCTCCAGATTAATTCTTTAAGTGAAGTTAAAATGAACAGAGAGAGGAAGAAAGAGAAGGGAAAGAAAGACAGAGAAAGAGAGAGAGAATGCAGACTTTAGTGTCTTTCCAGTTTGAGAACCTGGCTCTGGTACAGAGCCGTAGGAAGGAGCAGCAGACAGATGTGGGCTCCTAGAAGTCATGCTGAAATAACCATGAACATATATTTATTTTAACTTATGTTGTTCAGAAATTAGTAAGAAAAAATGTCCCTTTAGGTGTCACTAGGATCCTCATTCTGGTCCAGCAGCTCCCCACGTCCTACCCCAACGCGTGCCGAGCCCTGCGTCCGCCTCTGCTTTCTGCCAGCCTCTCACCCACTGCCCTCACCCACCACTGCAGCACACCAGGCTGGTCTCCTTTTCTCAGTCTGCCCTGCTCCCCCGTGGATCTGACTCCTTATTATGTTTCTCTAACTGGGGAAGTGCTCCATTCCTCACTCTACTTCCTCAATGCCAACCACACTGCAGACATAAGGTGAAGTCTCATTTGTCGAAAGCCCTTCCCTGAACCTTCCCGCCGCCCTCATTAAGGTTCTCTCTTCAGGAAGCCTTCAGAAGCCCTCTGTTCTGGCAACTCAATTTCCTAGCTCATCCCTACCACCCATGTGTTAGGTGTTTTAACCTTAACCTACCCAGCTAGTCCTTAAGAGTTCTGAGAACAGACATCATGATTTACTGGTTCTGAGAAAGGAAGTGGTAAAGCATTTAAGTCCAGTTCTCATCAATCCCAGCTGCCTGGTGTCAGACAGAGGGGTCTGTCCCAATGGCTCTCAGAACTGGTCATGGTTCTCTCGAGAGTGGGTTAGGGCTGACTAGCACTGGGGCTTAGGGTTCAGAGGCCCAGCCTTCGAGAAAATCATCTGCCTGGCTGAACTACTACACAATGGGATGGAAGAAAAGAAAGAAGACAGGTGCCCAAAAAAGCTGCACCCAAAGAAAATCATTTTGTTCCTCAAACCAAGACAGGTATTTCCTCTTTTGCAGTAACAGCTATCAGAGGTTTCCTATCAGAATACCTCACTCTGACTCAGACCACAGGCTTTTGTCTCAGCCAGTACTTAAAAGTTCCCATCTTTTAAGTAGAAAAATTTACAGTGGAACCCCCTACGCCGAAACTGCCTAGCAAGAAGAATTCCATCTATGGGAATGAGAAAGAAAAGTCATGCCAGCACATGTCTAAATTTGACTTGCTAATTAATGCACATCTAAGAGGAACACAGGAGGGGGAACACACACACACACACACACACACACACACACACACACACGGTGAAAGGTTTTAGTACTGCTCATCCAGGCCACAAATATAAAAAAAAAATCAAGACTTTGTTCTTAGGAATTTGCCCAATCAAGATATACCCATATGTTATGCTTTGGAACTTGGTCCAGAAAGTGGGGTGGATGGTGACCTAATGAAGCCTTTGTGCTTTAACTGAACAAATATTTATATGAACACCTGTTGTGTCTGTGTGTGTGCATGCTTTCATGTGTGCATGTAAATGAGACAGAGATACACAGAGGATGAGGGCTGGTGGCTGGGGTGCACCCAATCCCTTTAGACCTAACCCTGAGGACAGAAAGTGGACCTATACACAGAAGGTTCATTAACCAATGAATCAGGAACCATGTGACAGGCTTTCAACTCTATCATGCTCCTCCCCTTGTTGTCATGCCAATGCATTTCTAATTACCAAGGGCAATATGGTTAACTCGGCTTGTCCAATATTCAACAGGAAATTAACTTCAACTATTCCTTGGTAGTGACTATGTCAGGGAGAAAGTGGAACCAAAGCAAAAGGCTTTGCTCAGCCCTTTCAAATCCTGGCAGTCAACGAGGCTGGACTTGTAGGCCCAAGAGAATCTGAGCCTTACCTCCATCACTGCAGGTCCTGGAGTCTGAAGCCAGGCTGTCTGTGGAGCTGGTGGCGAAGCTGATGTGGACGCCCCGGAAGGATGGGCTGAGGCTCTCTGCAGAGCCCTGGCTCACTTTTTCCAAATCAGAGCTGCTCTTGTTCATTTTTAAAAGGTGCCTGGAAAAGGTAGAAACAAAGAATAAAAGAAAGTTGCTTGGTTGCTATTCAGAGATGAGGCTGATGGGTCATGAACGTATTAGGCTCTTAAAATCTGGCCAATGCCTGCACATTAAAAAAAAGAAAGACCATGGGCTCTTCTGAAGTTTTATGCACACAAATGAGAGGAGATCTCCTGAATGGGTTAGTAGAAGAGTCTGTAAAATGCAGACAAATACAAAATCCTGACTTGGGAGGAGGAACTGAACTGCTTTCACATTCTGATCCCCTGTGCCAAGCAATTTATGCCATGTATTATATCCTGGGTATCATCTCTACAAAGAAAAAGTAAAACATTACCTACAAACCAATATACAGAGCTCTGCAGAGGTTGGGGAATATTTGCAAGATCCCATGACAGGCAAATTGCAGACTAGGACTAAAAATGTGGGGTTTCTTTATTTGCCTGGAACTTTCTTGCTTGGCTTCAAAGAGTTTGGATGGAATTAAGGAAAACTTCATTTAAATTCTAACCTGAACTCCAGGTTAAGCTACTACTCCTGTAGTGTTTAAGTGGAACCAAATTAGAATAGCCCTTTATCTTGAACCATGGAATCTGCCCTATGATTTTCTGTGAAACGTTCTGTTGTATCTCCTAAGACAGTATTACCAACATATCAGAAGCAGGAATAACAACTTGAAGAAAAAAGAACTTGCCCTACAGAAAACAGTTCCATTATTGGGTAGAGTGCTTAGCTTATTGATTCCTCCTTTCCCCTTCACAAGACCTACATGAATATTCACTTCTCTGACATTTTCACCATGAAATGAGGCAGATCACAATCAATCCAGTCCTTTCCCTGTGGGTGGTAACCCACATTTGTCTGAACTGGTATTTCCTGATGACACTCCTGTCTCTACTATGGCAGATCTATATCTCAGCATCTGCTATAAGAAATAGACGATATACTATCAATTTGGCATCAGAACTACTGTATTTAATGCACATGATCCTACCATCAAAAATTTATTAATCATTCTTTGTTTACAACATTGCCAGATCCTGAGTTAGTTTTCAGTCACTGGAATTCCTTGCTTATAACAGAAAAATTTACAGCTGATGCTATGGTTTGTGTCTAGATGCCCACACCCCAGCCTCATGCAGTCTTAGGTGGGGCTTTTTCAAAAGTGGCTGAATCCAGAGTGTGTGACTGATCCCCAGTGTAATGCTGGGAAAAGGGTGGTTAATTGGTCCACTGATTTGTTTAGCACTGTCTTAATTCCAGTAGTCTGGATAAAATAAAAGGAGCAGAAAGACACTGTTAAGGTCCCTCCCTTGTAGCTTTTGCTGTCTTCTGTCACTGCGAACAGTTACCCCTCTGCTGTCTGCCACCCTGCCTTGGAGCCAGCCAACGATGGACTGAAACCTCTACAAAATGAGAGCTAAGTAAACTTTTTCCCTTTTGACTTTGGGTGTCAGGTACTTTGTCTCAGCAATGACAGAAAAGTAACTAAGATGGAATATGATACCAGAGAAATGGGATCCTTGCTGTGACGTTACATGGCCATGTGGCTCAAGAACCCATGGAACTGGCTTGTGGTCAGGGGAAGAGTTAGGGAAAGTGTGGAGATGCCAGCTGAAAAAGTAGAGCTTTAATGCCTTAGACTGTATTGTATGAGAAATTCTGGTCAGCACTCAGAAGACCAGAAAACTGACAGAAATCCTGCCAGTAAAGACCATGCTTGGGAGGTCTCTGCTGTGAAGGACTGCATTGACTGTTGGATTCTAAATGATGTGTGTTATGGTTTGGCAGAAAGTTTGTCTGTGTTTTGCTCATGTCCAAAGACTTTGCCTGAGACTGAGATTAAGGGCAGTGGACTAGTTAATCTGGCAGAAGAAATTTCAAGGCTATCTAATGTTGAGGCTGTGGCATAGCTATTGTCAGGGGCTTTTAGCCAGATTTATGTTCAGAATCAACAGCAAAGAGCCCAGCAGGATGATTTAAAGTGTCGTGAGTTTGGCTGGAAAGGAAGCTCCACTGAAGCTGTGGTCTGCAAAGACAGAGCCAAAAGAGATCCTGATTGCTAAGAAGAGTAGAAGAGTAGAAAAGACAGCCTAACGGCATCACAAGCAGCAGGACTCCACCCTCTGCAGCTTCAAAACTGCAAAAGGAAAGACTTTGCTTTGAGAAGAGAGCCCCAGAGCACTGTGTTCCAAACTGACAGTGGCCTAGGGAAGTTGTTGTTCCTCAGGATTTGGTTCATAGGCACTTGCCCCCTACCACCAAGACAGAAGAATGCCTGGCTACTGCTCCAGCTGTCAGCAGACTTTGGCATCATTCACATAGCATTGGTTTTAGATGCATGCAGAATGGAAGAGTTGTGGGGTCAGGAAGGTTTCCACCCAAATTTCAGAAAAAGGCCTGGGAGGCCAGGCAGGGTGCCTTTGAGAAGACACTATGTAAAGTTGTGAGTATGAAGCCATAGGTGCAGTGGAGACCCAAAAATTTGGAGAAGCCAGGAATGTGGATTGTCTGAGAAAAACTGCAAAGAGGAAGCAGAACCAGCCCAAGAGAGAAACCATGAGAGCTACAACCATAGAGGCAGAGCCACCCAAACCCTTTGGAGTTCATCTTCCCACAGAATGCCTCAGAGGCTGCACATGGAACTACAGGACTTAATGTTTACTCTGCTGGATTGTGGACTTGCTTTGTTCCCATTCCTTGCTATCCTTCTGTTTATAACTTTTGGAATGGAAATGTCTATCTTGTGCCATTGTATGTTGGAAGTGTATAACTTTCTTTTCATTTATACAGAGGCTCACAGCTAAGAGTTTGCCTTAAATCTCAGAGGAGACTCAGGACTTAGCCTTTTCAGCAATAACTGTTAGGACTTTGGCAACCCTTAGAGATGGACTCAATGCCTTTTTTGTAAAGGAATGTACATGAGTCTTTGGAGGACCAGGGGCAAAATATTATGGTTTATATTCAGATGTCCTCCCAAGGCCTCATGCAGTCTTAGATGGGGCTTTTTCAAAGGTGGCTGAATCTAGAGTGTGTGATGGTGCAATGCTAGGATTAAGGGTGCTAAGATTAAGGGTTTGTGATTAGTAAATCTGTCCACTGACTGATTTGGCACCACCTTAATCCCAGTAACCTACAATATAGGAGACAGAAGAGGTTTGTCTGGTTTCTTCCTTTGCTGCTTTTGCTACCTTGGTGGTGCCATGAGCTGTTCTCTATGACACCCCTCTGCCATGTGCCACTCTACCTTGGAGCCAGCCAACTATGGACTGAAACCTCTACAAGCTGTGAGCTAAATAAACCTCTCACCCCATTACCAACTGTAGAACTATACTAAAAATCTTTTAAAATAATCACATATTAAGTAACTGACAACAGTATTACAGACTAACAGTAGTCTTATTATAATTTTAGTATCACTGTTGGGATGGAAATATCAAATCCTTAGGAAATGCTACAGCAGTCAATTATCTTTATTTAACAGTCTGCCAGAATACAATTATACAAAGTTTTTTAGTTTTCTACATGGGTGTCTCACTGCGTTGTCTCTGCTGGCCTCCCAATCCTCCTGCCCCCACCTCCTGTGTGGCTGGGACTATAAACATAAGCCACCACACCCAGCTTTTCCAAAGACAAAACCAAGATAGTCTTAAATATTTTAAAGTGTGAGCACACACACACACACACACACACACACACACACACACACACACACAGTTCCTTAGAGTAGCAGGGGAAAGAAAAGAATGCTACTGCTTCCCAGTAGCATTGGGAAGAAAAGAATTATAGGTGCTGGATGAAAAGAAGGAACTCAACACCAGAGTGGTACCAGGATGCTGCAATACTGAGAATGTTTCCTGTAGGTTTTGGTATAGACTGTTTATAAGTTTAATGAAATTTATTTCTATTTCCAGTTTTTAAAAGAGCTTTATATTTTAAGTTATTTCTAATTACTAGACTTCATCAAATGCTTTTACATTAGTAACTTCACCTTTAAGTTAATCAAATTTTGTAAAAATTAATTTTTAACTCTTACATAAAAATTATACCTCTCAATTGGATACCATAGTATGTTACAAATAGCTTTTCTATAATCCAAAGACTCTGTTTTGGAATATAAATATCCTTGAGGAATGTTGAATGTATCACTACAGTATATAAGAGGCTAAATCATTGTAGTAGGTCACAGTCATTTACAGAACAAAAGTTTATTCTAGCAAAAAAGAACCAAAAAATATAAAACTAAATATAATAAGGATTTGCAAAACTTAATTTTGTGAACTTTTTGTCTGTGTGTTGAATCATAATACTAAATGTATTTCCTATAGTGAATTATGCTTTTTCAAAAAAATCATTACTCTTAGAATAAGGATCAATATTTTTCCTTAAACAGCCAGGTGGCAATTACTCGAAGTTCTTGGGCCACAGTGACTCTGTTGCAACCACTCAAGTCTACAGGAAAGCAGCCACAGACCTTATCTAAGGGAATGGGTATGTTTTCCAATAAAAATGTATTTATAAAAATAGCTAGATTATGAGCAATAAGTGACTAACTCTTGCTCTAAAATGGCCTTGTCCAATAGAAATATAATTCAAGCCCTATATATAATTTAAAATTTTCTAGTGCTCAGATTAAAAAATTTAAAAGAAATTGGTGATATTAATTTTAGTGACACATTTTAATAACAACATATATCAAATACCGTTACTGCAACATATACTAAAAATTTTAATAAGACTGTATATTCTTTTCTTTATTTTAAGTTTTTAAAATCTGGTATAGATTTACATTTACAGCACACTGCAAGTTGGACTAACCACACTTTAGGTCAGTAGCTACTGTACTGCACAGTGCAGACTCAGAAAAAATCTCATACATAGGTAAGGATGTTCACAATGTTACAGACAGCAAGAATAAAACTGTAAATAGTTCAACATCCACAAAGAAAGGAATAAACAGTAACACAGTCTTATGGTGAATTACCATATAGCAGTCAA